GACCTGGGGGCCTGGCCGGGGGGCGAGGTCAGAGCGACAGCCTGGACGGCGATAAGGGTCCCTCTCCCTTGGTCCCTAGGACATACTGAACCACGTGTTTGAGGACGTGGAGACCTTCGTATCGAGGCTGCAGAAGTCGGCAGAGGCCACCCGCGTGTTGGAGCACCGGGAGCGCGGCCGCAGGACCCGCCGCCGGGCAGCTGGTGGTAGGAACTCCCCGAAGAGCAGGCCCCATTCCCGGGTGGCTCCCAAAGATCCATACCCGCTCCGACACCGGCCGGGCCTGACTTCTAATGGGTGTCCTCCTGGAGTGTCCCTGGGTGCCCGCCACTCTGGCGGTGTCATCGGGCACCCTGTGTCCCCACCACTGTGCCTGCCACTCACAGAGGGCCTGCTGACGCTTCGAGCCAAGCCACCCTCGGAAGCCGAGTACAAGGACGTGCTTCAGAAGATCAAGTACGCCTTCAGCCTGCTGGTGAGAAGCGCACCCCTGGGCCTCTCAGGGGTCAAGGGCGGTGACCCCCACCTTCCTGCGCTAACCCGGCAACACCCCTTCCAGGCCCGGCTGCGCGACAACATCGCCAACCCCTCTTCCCCGGAGCTGCTGCATTTTCTGTTCGGGCCGCTGCAGATGGTGAGCTAGCACCGCCTGCTGGGTTCCCCGCCTCCCCGCAGGCCCGGGCAGAGCAGAGGGGCTGGTGGCATTCTCGACCCCTGCCGCCCTCCAGATCGTGAATACCTCCGGGGGCCCTGAGTTCGCCAGCGGTGTGGAGCGGCCGCACCTGACGGCCGAGGCCGTGGCGCTGCTGCGAGACAATGTCACCCCTGGAGAAAATACGCTGTGGACCTCACTCGGGGACTCCTGGACCCGCCCCGGGTAAGGGACCTGGCTGAGCACAGAGGGAGTAGGAACCGGAAAGAAGGTGGGGCCGGACAAGACAGGCTAGAGGCGGGACTTGGCTAGGGCTCATGGATTTAGGACTTTGAGGATGGGGAGGGGCTTAGCATACATGCAGGATCCGATTGGAGGATAGGCTAGAAATTAGCATGAAGGAAAAGTTTAAAATCTAACCAGAAAAATCAGACAATCGGATTGCGGAAAAAGGCAAGGACTAGAACACACCGGTGGCTGAGCCAGGAGGATCTCAGGGTTCCGGGTTCAATCTCCATACTGCCCCCAAAAAAGAAGCAAAGCAAGAAGTCTACATGGAAGGGGCGTGGCTTAGGTGAGTGGGCATGGCTATGTTGAAGAGGCAGGGCCTTTTTGAAAGTGTGGTCTACAGATTTCAGGGTTGGACCAAGCCTGAGCTTCAAGGTTTAGTGTAGGTGCAGAATTGGAGACCTGGCATGTGTAAAAGGGCAGGATGAAAGTAACTAGAAAATTAGTTTGGGATCAGAGATGAGATATACAAGCTGAGCAAGAACCAGGGATGGTTGCACACACCTGTAATCCCAGAACTCAGGAGGCTGAGGCATGAGGGTCTCTGTGAGTTCAAGGTCAGCCAGAGATACATAGTTCAAGGCCACCCTGAGCTACATAGCAAGACCCTGTCTCAAAACAAACAAGTTGGGTGGCCATCAGAATGGAGTCGACTTATTTAGAAACGTAACTGAAGTCCTTGACAGTGCTTAGAGGGAGCCCACGTCCAGGTGGGACCAGAATCCAAGCCATAGCTGTCCCTGACCACAGGTTGGAGCTGCCCCTAGAGGAGGGACCCTCTTACAGCCCCAAGTTTTACAGCGGCTGGGAGCCACTGGCCACCGACCCCCAGGGCCGCACCTGGGAGGACCCAGTGGAGAGGCAGCTCCAACACGAGCGAAGGCGCCAGCAGGTGAGATCGGGGCTCTCCAGGCCCAAGAGGGGGTCGGACAGGAGCTCCACCTGACCCAGGCTGTCTCCCTCCCTGCAGCAAAGCGCACCCCAAGTTGCTGTCAATGGGTGAGTGTCTGCACCAGGAGGGCAAGGTGTCCAGGAGGGATGTGTCCCAGGCTCCTGGCACTGACCCCTTTTTTGTCTTTTCTTGTCTCCCGCTCTTTGCAGGTGGGTGAGGTGGTGAGGGGAGTGGTGGGGTGGGG